TTTCCCATGCATATAAATGCAAAATAAATGTCATCTTCTATTTTGTTTCTTTCTCAGCTCTAGGTGAACAAAACAGCCTTTCTCCTCTTTCTTTGTCCCTGAGTAGAGGCACAGGTGTCTGTTCCCTGATGCACATCTCCCTGAATGAGGTCTGACATTCCTTCTCTTCCATGCAGATGATCTAATTATTCCCACACGCTGCTGAAAGACGTTGCAGTTTACATGCTATGAGCTGTGTCTTGCAGCGCATACACACCGGACATCTGCTCTAGCTGGCTCCTGACAGCCAGCACCAGTCTGCAGCATAGGGCAGCGCTTATGGACAGCTGACATGGCACAGAAAGTACAATCTGCATCACTTTTAAATCTTTAAAGTCAATTTCCATCATTAAAAACACAGATGTAGTTTCTTCTACTATTTATGTGTGGGCTGTGTATATGTATTTCAAAGCACAATGTAGACCTTAATAAATTTTCAGCTTTTAGAGCACAATGGCTGTTCAGAATAAATTTACAGAAAACACATCATATTAATATTTTCAACTTCCCAGTCAGAATACCACGCTGTATAAACTGCTATCTGTTTGCAAGAATGGAGTAGCTCATAAGACGTAGCATGTCAGGTAAACATGTTAGGAATACTATAAGAGAAAAAAACCCGCATTTTTCCTTATTTTCCTTTAAAGTAAGGAAGCCTTGCAAACACATTCTTATTCAAACCTTCATTTCAAGTTAGTCATCCTAGTGCTTCACTCTCCAGTTCTTTATATGCTGTGAACCTCCAGTGTCTGTGCAGTTGTTTCTAAGGTAACAGATCAAGATGCCTTGTGAAAAAAATGAATCAGATCTTGAATATTCAAGACATCTCCAGTTGCAGAAATGAGAAAAGGGCAGTATCATCTCAACTGAGGGTTCTCAATATCTTTTAGACCCTGGCCTGATTTACAGACAAGAAAAATACAATACACCCTAAGGCTGCGGTGTGAGAGTACAGTGGTGTATGCAGTTTCAGGCATGTAGACTGTCAGAAATTTTTAATCAGAGCCATAATTAAGGAATTACGGAGGCTGTTCTCAACAGAGTATCATTGCCTCATTGCAGGGTACACACACACAGAATACAGATGAAGGATGTGTTCGCTAGGATTGCGCCTTCATTCCAACTACTGACAACCGTACAGAAATCTTCTTGTCAAACACGTGATGCACAAACCAAAAAATACATTAAAAATGAACATGAATCAGCATGTGAAAATAAATGCATATGCATTATTTCCATCAAAGAAAACAAATCAATATCTTTCACAAGTGATTACCGGAGTCAATCATTTTCAGTGAATGGGATTATTGGGTTTTGTTGAGGCTTTTTTGTGGTTTGTTTTTTTGTTTGTTTTTAAACTGCCTAGAACTACCTTCTGTTTCTTTCAAAGGCTATTTTGCTTATTATCTGAGTCCAGAAATCATATAAAGATATGAATGCAGGCAAGACACATAGAGAGAATATTAACCAAAATATCATGTAAGGCTTTTGGAAAACTTCTGTTACTACAAAAAATTAACTAAATTCTTCTCTTAACAATATATGACATATATGTTTATTGATATATGCATTCTGGAATATGCACAAACACACCCACCATCTGAGATAAAATTATCATAAGGTATTTTTCAAATGCCCATCATAATGAGATCTAAAAAACTACATTCATAGAAAAGGATCAGGTTTGATAAAAACCTTCAGAGCTGTATTATTTTCCATGTTGTGTAAGGGAAAACTGAGACACAGAGGTCCAATAGCTTGGGGATCAGATAAAAGTCATGGTCATGAGACTGGACAGGTCGTGACTACTCATACCTGTCTTCCTACTTCTGAATCCTGTGCTCTGTCTACTGCATTACAAATTACTGCACACTCTAATTACTTGGAATAAAAACTGTTCTGAATATTTACATAGATTGTTTGGCAATATTCTTCAGCGACTACTCTGCATGAAGAAAACATTAACAATTTTGGGGACTTGCATCATTTAACAAACTGAAAGGCAGACACATTGATTAGGGTCTTACGTTCTTGGAAAGATGTGAAGAGCATCTGGAATCGGCTGCTTCGACTGCCTTCATCTGCCCACATGCGTATTACACCGAGACCGGTCCGTAACATTACATCATTAGCAACAGTGCTGCAAAACTTCGCTTTCAAATCCTCCACCGAGCTGCTTCCATCATAGACAGCTACAAAATTCCTTTTGCATTCATTGGAATTCTGCATCTCATAGTCCAAGAATCGTAAATAGATCTATAAAACAAACAGACAACAAAGGCAACATGCACAGACATTTGAGAATGACTGAACAAACATTAAAAACCTTTGCTCTACCTTGTGGGAGAAAGACTACAAAAGACTATCAAAATAATTTTTCTGGAGCTGGTGATCCATCAGCCACTTCCCTGGAAAGGCATTAAAATGGAAGTCAAACACTTTGTATCCTTCCTGGTATTTTGTTTTGCTTCAAAGTAGAATCTAGAGGAAGATCTAGATATTTTTGTTTTTCTTTACATAAAGTCCTAATTTCTAAATATATACCCATCTTTGAGAAGTATGTACACAGTCCTTCCAGATGAAGGACAGAGAAGCTAGGAATTTCTTCTTTCACTGGCTGGCACAATATTGCTCTATTACTTGCCTGACATGGAAAATAATAAGGCAAATAATTGCTGCTCCCTCCCCAGAGTAAATATGTGTCATCTTTGTGAGATGTCTGAGCTACACTGATTCAGGAAGTGAGAATCTGGGAGCCAGGCAGAACTCAATCATTAATCTTTTTATGTTTCCTCAAGCAATTTGGCCACCATCTCAGCTTTTCTAAGCAAAGCCTTATGGTATATATCTTCATAATTTAACAGGGTTGAAATCAAGTGTTTTTCGTGGAAACTGCTAGAAACCTAGAAAGTTTTTTTTTAGGAAAAATCTCTTGCATACAAGCTAAGTTCTCTCATAAATGTAATCATCTATTGACCTTTGCAAAGAACTCTCTAAATCTACCCAAAAAGAAACAGAGGTGAGGAGAAAATGCTATTATTTGATATTCAATTCTATATGAACTTTAATAGAGAAAACCACTAATTTTAAAAACAATTCATTATACAAGCAACATCAAATATTCCAGTAACAGAGAAAGCGAGTAATATTTTCAATAGACATGTGACACATAACCAAATTGCCAAGAATACCCAGGAGATTTCAGAAGAATGATACAGAAAGGTGAAGTAGGGCAGAAACAGCATAAAAAGCTAGTAAACGTATCCAGCATGCAGCTATATGCATATTCACTTGAAAAAATCACCAAAAAGAAACTCCCCTGTATTAGACATCACATATACTTCTTTACAAAAAATCTTCTTAGCTTCAGGTAGTTTTTTTTTTTTTACAGGCACAGAACAATTGCTTAAAAAGCTTCTCTGGATTTGCATAAAGTACACAAACAGCAGATCCTAGTAGCAACAAGACTCACCACTTTAATATATTAAAGCTCTTATGGTTTGAGAATTATGTGCTGCTAAGCAGTCTGCCACTGTTTAATAATAGCTCAGATTTTTAAATGAGCCTTTTCAGGCAGTGTATTACGGTACATTTTCATTCCTTGTTATGCTTTGCAACTGGTCTCTCTGAAAAGAATATTTGTACAACAATTTTTACTAGCATATGTAATTTGGTATACTAAGTTTCATTTGCTTGCCTCACCTTTTTCTACTATGTTATTTCTTACAGTAATCCTTACTTATGTTCCACAGAAGAACTCAGAGGAATAAATTTCAATTAAATTGCAGTTAAGTGAATTTTACTTTCACCATGTATCCTGGTTTTTAAATACTACATATTAAGGAAGCTGCCTGTATCGATCTCTAAAAACTGGAACAGTTAACAGCAATACACAAAGTAATATTCAGATGGCAATATCTTATATCAAGGAATACTTTTAATAATATTTTCCATTTCATTTACTGGTTGCCCCATCCCTGCAGGGGAATGAAAGATTATTAGAATTCAGTCACCCAACACTGCTGAGATTCTCACACAGTATCCACCACTTTCTACAAATGTGTTGTCTTGAAATATCTTGCCATTTCCTCTCCTACTGGGGGACATGCACTTTCCATTCCTGTTAAAACAGGTCGCCTACTTCCTTGGTGAAGTCATACTTAAACGCTTGTTTTGCATTCTGAAGATCTGCTGAGTGCAGAAAATGCATTCCTGAAGCTCCTCTATACTGTCTACATCCCTTTACAAATCTCTCATTCTCTACTCTCTTCCTCCTTTCCCCAGGTGCTCAGGCACCTGACCCTTTACTCCTCATGCTCCAAAACATTGTTCTTGGTGTTCTCCAGCTATTTAGAGCATTCCTGTCTAGCTGATACACAGCTACTTTATCCCCTCAGGAAAAGCCTCATCTTCAGCATGGCTCCTGTTCTTTCCTGTCTGTATAGCATTATTTCCATGGCCACCAGGCAGATGGCTGACCTTCACGGCCAGCTACCTAGAAACTGTTACACCTCTGATAGGAAGTGTATGACAACATGCTGAAATTAACTGGAACCAAGCAAACATGAGCAGCAAAAGGCCAGTGAGACAACTGCAGACAAGAATTTTGGACGAGTCAGTGACTTGAATTCAGCAGTGCAGAACTGGGTTTGGCAATGTGAGGCGAGGTCTTACTCCTCACTGTCATGGTTTGATAAGACCCTCTTGTATCGGCGGCTCCTGGGGTCCAGCTGGCACAGGCACACTATTGTCCTACCAGAGCAAGGTTATGCTTGAGGGAGGGAGGTATGGGAAGACACAGAGCCATGATACCCACACCCAGCAACTGGCCATAGTTGGGACACACCGGGGAGCTGCTTCTCTGTTCTAGAGACCGGTCACTCCTGCTCAGACAAGAGCGTAACAGGCACTGTGAAAACCTGGCCCCCAACCTCTCCTGTGAAGCTGCTGAGATACCCTGTAGTCCATCTCTGCATAACTTTTCACTTAAAATGGGGAGTTGCATGTGCACCTTGCTTTTCTTTGCTAACAGAAGCAGCCTGCTTCACATGGGCGCTTCAGTGCTTGCCAGCTTTGTCATAGGTAATGCAATAAAAACCTTCTGCAGCTGATTATATGCAATATTGTATACACATGACAGATAAATGTCTCAGAGAAAAGCACAGAAGACTTCCAACACATTATTGTCATGTACCATTATTTTTATGCCATACGTGCCTATCATATGTATACCTTCTATAAGTTACAATATACCATATATAGATATGATAGACCATACAGATATAATGCAATGTACATATATCATAATTTTTTCTTAGTCCATTCTTCAGGAAAGCTCTTACTTACTCCAGAAAAAAAAAAAACAAAACCTTAGTCTGTCTGCAGAACAATAGTAAAACTACATTTCACCTAATGGGGGAAAGACCTCTTACACTTGCTCACTTCTCTATTTCTACCCTCCTGTCTTATATATATACTTTTATATGTATATATGTATGTGTTCATACATATATATAAGCACACATATATCTTGTATAGGGTATCCCATTTCAGTATTGAGATGTAATTTATATCAGTTTTCATTCTTATAAGATATGTGTGCTAATCCTCACTGTGGTTATAAAATACCAGCTCTCCCAGCAACGTCCAGCATTCATCAATTATTCCTAATCTGCTCAAACAGATTGTTCATATAACACTACAGCCAAAGTCTTATTTCTATGAGCTTATCCTTTGACGTTCTCTAGTTTCTGGCAGCACACTAGCCTTATAAAATAGTAAAAGATCTCTTAGAGTAGCAGTTATAAATGCTGAGAAGGAATGAAGAGAACAATAACTTAGCATTTCATTTTGAGTCTTTCAGTGAAAAAACCCAACTCTTTCAAACCTGAATTCTGCTGTTCGTCATACCAGTTCATTCCTGTGTGTGATAAATTCAGCTAAGATCATAACATATATAGACTTGATAGGCACTGGACCCATCCTTCAGAAGAAAATCTGTGTCCATCCTTCAGAAGAAAGATGGCACCTTCTCCAACAGCATGAAGTTTCATAAATTAGAGAAAAAAAATCCTGAGGTGAGTTGGAGTTTCATTCTCATAGTCTCCTTTGGAGATGGCTATTCCCAGAACTTTATATAAAGTGATGAGGACTTGATACAAATCTTACTGAAATCAGTGGCTATCTTTCCATTTGCTTATTTGGATCAGACCTATGGATTAAGACTGCAGTGCATTTTTAAAAACTGGAAACTGATTGCACAAACTGACAACCTGATATTGGATCAGATTTTATTTTAAAGAGCTGGAATAATTTAATTGCATCTGCACGCCTCTGCCAATTTTTATGGTTTTATTACTATACATTTGCCATTGTTCCTGTCACTGGCTGTAAGACCCACACTGGCAGAAGAAAATGACTAATAAATTGAGTTCCCCGGGGAAAGAATAAAACTGATTATATGACAAACTGTTATCTAATGCAAAATGTTCCCGATACATAGTTTTCTGAAATCAGTGGCAATATTCTCATTACTTTCACTACTATGTGCATCTCACTGAAAAAATTAAGCCTAAAGTGAGAGAAAAATTATCAATATTTCTGGTTATTTCATTTACTGAGATCTTAGTCATTACTTCTACCAGCAGTGGATAAGAAACTTTGCTTCCTAAAAGAAAACAAATGAACAAAAAAAGAGGTCACAAACTCAAATGCCGCCATCTGCCTTCATTAAGAATTTTTTCACTGATGCCAATGGGAGCTTTTGGAATGATAACATTTCCCTAGACACTGACACATTATATTAGTATAATCGGGACGTTCTTGTTGAAAAGAATATCTTATTTGAAAGAAGCAGCAAAACTGCCCTATCTTCTTCATTCACATTTTTGTTGTAAAGTTTTAATAAGACACTTTCCTCAAGTCATCAGTTCCACATTACTTAGAAGAACAGGCTGCTAGTGCACAAGTATTAGTTTTTACTGGGTTTCAAGATGTCACTGCAAATGCCAATGTCATTAGCAACAAAACTGATAAAGCCACACTGCAACTGTGGCATACATAGTTTACACTTGGTCACATTATATTTTAACTAATTGTCTTGTCACCTTTAAGGTTTGTATTGTCAACACAATAATGAAAAAGGAAATGCTGGATAAGTTTTACTATTGTTTTATTCAAATTTGAAAACAACAGAAATTTCTGACTGAATATATTAGAAAAAAAAAGAATGATTGTAGACTATGAATAATATATCA